CGTTCTTCCTCTTCCAGTTGCCACAGAAACAGTCCGGATTTTCAAACTGCTTAATGATTTTGACGATCAAGATTGCCATCTAGTAACAGAGAACTCTAACCCAAATTTAATTCTTTGCTTAAAGAATTTGTAGAACCCGTTGTGTAGGGTTTAATGAGTGCGAACGAAGTTGTACTCTGGTGAAAGCACTTGCGTTTTACCAGAAAATTTACTACTCTGATATATATATATATATATATATATGTATATATATATACCGAAACGTCAACCATCGAACAACAACTAGAAGGACATCTATGCCAACCTCGCGTCAGCTAAACAAAGACGGTTCGCAAGGACATATATATACATATATATATACATAGATGTAATTAACTTTTTTAAACCTCTCTTATTATTCCACTTCTATAGAAATCCTTTCCATTCTAGTCACATTTCTCTATTGAGCACTAGCAATACTATGAGGCGCAGTGAATTTGAAAGCTCTGTCAGTACGGATGATTAAATATCCCATCTTTCTGCCTACTTATTGCTTCCACTTTTTATGGGACTATAAAATGATCTTCGAATGTTACTCTCTACAATGTATAGCCCATTTAGCTTAATTCTCGCATTGTTATACTCGCTTTTATGCCAACATATGCCAAAATCCTTCTCCATGCAGTTCATTCGGCTTTCGACGATTCGAGTGAGCCAAAAAGGGTACAAAAATTCGTTAGAGTAGCAAAGAAGAAATAGTAATAAAAGCCATTATATGCACAAGAAAACCATTTGTTGGCGATTCATTGTCTGTGAAGCAATTTATTGAGAGGAAATAAACCATCTTACTATGAAGAAGAACTTCAAACCTTCGAAGGCTGAATAATTCGTAAAAGTTAGTTAATGAGCGAATCGTTGGCATCTTTTAAAAGCTGTAACTAAAGAAAAATTCTCCCACAATGAAGCGAGTAATTTTGTTTGACTTTTCTAGTACACGAGCGATTTTACAATTTGATGTACAGCATTCCTTATTTTGTTTGCGTTCATAGAATAAAAAGTGGTCCCCAACTCGACACAAATATTTGTGCTTTATCTCTCCTCGTACTCAACTGTCTCTCAGAAGTTTTTCCTTTATGATTGATCCACTTGTAAAGGATAGAAGGATAAATGATATAGCGTTCGACGTTGACGATCAATCCCTAAGGGATGCGTCACGCAATCGACTTCATTAGGCATCGAAAGAGGTCATTTTGTGCACATCTGGTCTATACAATGTTGAAATCTTGGTAAGCCAGAGGTGAAGGATCGAACTAAACACCACATGTGCATCGCAAAGCTCCTCTAGCCACTGCACTACACGCGCTCTTTGCTAGAGCTTGGAACCTCAGCTGGGCTTCTGGCCTACGATTACCCTTACCGGGGCACACGTGCTATCCGCCACACAAGTTGAGGCATCACTTGTACCGGCACTACTGTTGTACTGAGTTAGTCAGCTTTCCTCACTTTTCTAAAAACTACACGATTTTTGTCTGATATCCTCCGGAAAAATTAAAGGCCTTTCTTAGTTCTCTCTCGTTCATATTCTTATGTTCCAGCTATTCAATGTTTCATGAAACCTATCCACCATGTACCTGTTATTTGCCCCGCAGTGTTGACATTTTTAAAAATTATTTTTTACCCAAGATTGAGGCTTGGGGCTGCGGAACCGCAAGTTTGGTGTGGCAGAACACCAGGAACCCACTCCTGTTATTAATCATGCTATAGCTGTTAGGGGCAAAACTCGTGATGTGAAATTTCCGTCAAATTTCTCCTGAGAACTGCTGTAGTAACTAGAACGTATGTGCTTACCCGATGTTACGTTGGTGACTTTAGCTCGCAGCCTGCCTCCAATTTTTTGATCTTTTCTTTTGCGAAATCCATTCCCACTTTTACTGAAAATTGTATTTTCCACGCTCATAGGCAATTTTCAAACTAAAAGAAAACTCCGAACACGGAAAATGTTGCGCTTAATTAGTTTGTCTTTGGACTTCTCGAGGATATCTTGATATCAGAAGATGCTACAATTGGCCCCATACCAAAAGTGAAATTTTTCGCGTTCGCTGATCAAACAGAAACCACCAATGACAAGGAAGAGTGGATATCACTGGTGCCCGCTCGTCTTACTCCACAGCTGATGTGAGAAAAGCACAGGTGCAATTTCTCAACAAAGATTGAAAAAATTCTCTTCGTGATAGAAGATACGTGATACGTGATTTCAATAGGTTCTCTATGCTCTCCGTGCTCGCTCAACACTTTGCCAATGTGCCGTGTAGTGAGGTTTTTGAAGATAATTGAAATAAAGCTCATATTGAAATCGACTTTCATTGAGCCTCGGTAACAATGATCAATAACTTTTTTACCTGAGTGAGCTAATACGAAGTTAGTATAAGAGTTTTGCACTGCTGATGTTTCGGCGTCTTCGCCCTCCTCAGACCCGTGTTGAACCGAGTGGATGCTCCACAAATTTTCGTGATGTGGTGTTCACACTCCACTACATTCGACTTGATGCGACAATGGTCGTTGCTACCGAGCTCAAATGAAAGTCGGTTTTAAGGTATTGCCACGCCACGTGATAGTACGGCTCATTATATCTAATTTTTTTTGAAAAGAGACCCAGAGCAGCTTGCTTAGCTCTGCTGTGGGATATAGATAGTTTCTCCTGTGAATCCATGCGCCTTTCAAGAAAAGTACAGTGTTCATTTTTGCCCACGCCTAGCACTCTATCTGCTATGTGTGAATAAACCATATAGCCTACGGATTAAATGGCTGACAACCTCCAGTTAGTGAGATAGATTAATTGTTAAATTAATACAAATAGTACCATGTGAGATTTCGCAGCTTGAATGTTTAAAATTACTTCACTTCGCCGTGACCCCAGAATAGAAAGTATTTAAACTGGGAAGAGGAAAGCTTGTGCAGTCAAGTGAAAGAATGGAAATGCAAGGTGATAATAAACACAGACACATCATATCGGGAAGCGAACCTGGAGAAGAACAACGACCTGACAAAGAGTCCTATTCGTGTTCTCTAACCCTTGCTGTCATCTCTTGGTAATTTAGATTTAAAATTTAGTCACGAAGTCTAAGTGCACCTAATTTCCATCCTCACTTTCAACCTCTTTTTTCAATTTCTTCTTTCTCGAAAAGGGTTTTTTTCAAAAACTTTTCAAAATGTTATTGAATACACCATAGTACAGGCCAGGAGGACCAAGCATTTCCCCTACCTAGTAAAATCCATCGCACACTACAGTACTTTTGCCTTCTTATGAGAAGTATTATTTTGTATAATTGAAAAGCCTATCTTTTTATACGATCCGTCTTCATGTCTACTGTGGCGAATCCCAGAAATTTCTGCATTCCAGTCGTTTCCTCGCATCCAGCATCCTAGAAGGTTTCGAACTTTTCACGTGTGGCCTCAGCTGTTGCTTGAGGATTACCTCTACATTTGTCGTTGAATACTTGTCGCTGTCGTTGAATACTTGTCGCATCGATTCTCTCTCAAACCCTGGAATTGGCGTGCTAGTGTACGAGTTCGCCTCAGTCCATGCTAATACTAATTCTCAGATCTCGGAGAAATAACAGGCTTGGTAATCTCGCTGGGGGAAACGCGAGTTGAACCAACACACTGCTCGTGATGAGCGAAATCACTACCAGTGCGCTACCTGGCCCCTAACCCTTTATAAAATTAATAAACCTCCTCGTTATAAGGGATTTCCAGCGATACTGCCATCTCGAGTCTTGCAGTGTCGATATACACAAGATATCTTCAATCTTCTACTAATCGCTGTATATTCGATAACCTCGCCACGTGGATATTGTGTACTCGTCTACAGTTTATTGAACGGTCTAGCTATCCAAGCTCGATGTTAGAACCATGGGAAGAGTACAATCTCTCGTATGTGAATCATAAATAAGAAAACGACTACTATTCATTGAACGATGTCATACGTCATGCCAAATTTTTTATTTAACTCTATGATAATAAAGCAACTCGTGGATCAACAACGCCTCATTGTGGAACAAAATCATCAATCTACTGGCATGCCAATGTATTAAGTACTACATGAATAACTAGCTCAGCTATTACAGCAACACACCGTGCAAGACTCTCACCTTTATTCATATCTATAACTAGGGTTTGAGCACGCGTGAACAGAACAAACTATTGACTAAGATAACTTTATTTACAAACCCTTAATATCTTTATTAAAAAGTACTCTCTGAACGAGTACAACCTTCCTGGCGATAAGGAAGGATCCCAACTCTCTAGATAAAATCTAAACAACCACAACAATGCTACAGAAATGTTTTGACCGGTATTGTAGCAAAGTAGGAACCTGTTATCAGAGAAAAGTAACAAAAGTCGGAGTGTGTTGCCACCACTACGATGAGCCTGGTTGAATGACGTCTACCTAACAGTACACATGAGTAAAAACCAGTTTTAGAACATTTAATTACGCCGTATCACTATAGCCCTACAATCTTTTCTGCTAATAATCACGGGTATCACTAGACACATCTCTGTTAAGGGAAACCTGGAAGATGATGTAATTAAACACAAGTGAGATTACGCAGAGTGCTACACTTGCACAGATGGCCAAAGCGGTGAAGGCAGCAAATATTTTCAGAGCTCAAAGTATTGTCAAGGAACAAAAAGAAATTAAATAAAACTGTAAACGAAGACTTTCTGGTATAAAATCCATTACGGTTTTATTTATAGAAAAAATATTGACTGCCTGTAGAAATGCGACAATTCACCAGGTTAAATACCGATGACATAGTTTCGACTTTATGACAAAATATAGACTACAATACGAAAATACGAAATAAAGTCATGACACCGGCGGAAAGCAGACCTGAAAAATTACTTAACGAGTACAAATGTAAAGTGGAAATGCAAAAATGTGTAAAATGAGGATGCTAGATATGTAATATAAAATGATCGCTGACACCGACCACAAAATTACATGGTTTTCGATTTGTTTAAGATTCGACCTCACCAGCTACAGGCAGTGTGACAATCCAGCTGAGTGAAATATTCCGAAATGTGTGCCAACGAACGGAATGGCTCGCCTGTACGAGTCCTACTGCCACAACAGACCCAACCTAGAAGAAAGAAAATGAGGTTCCTTGATTTTTTAGCTCGTTACATCTCAGTTTACTAGGTTGTTCAGAAATAAACGAGCGTTTTAAAATATATATATATTGTTTTAATGTATTTCTACCAATAAAATATTCTTTGTACCTTGCAATATTATATATCATCAGAAAGACGATTTTATGCTCTTTTTAACCAATTTTTTATACCTTGTCAAAAGTCGAATTTTTTAAACCAATTTTGCGCCTAGAAATTTTAGATGTCAAAAACGGGTTTTCGTCAAATTTTCTTTTAGTTCAAACTCGGTCGTAGTGCAGCACAGACGGCTCGAAACATTAATGAAGTTTGGTGTGAAGGTAGTGTTGGTGAATCAACAGTGCGAACATGATTCCGGAAGTTCGGGTCTGGTGATTTCGACCCCGAAGATAAGGAAGGCCTCGGACGTGAACTTGACTCCGACGAGTTGAAGACACTAGTGGAAGCAAACACATGAACAACTGTTCGAGAACCTGCAAAACAGCATGGCACGAGCACAGAAACAGTTTCCACTCATTTGAATCGCATAGAAAAAACAAAAAAAAAAAATTCAAAAAGTGAGTGCCGCACGAATTAAACGATAATCAAAAAGGTCGCCGTTTTGGGGTGTCGTCTGCTCTTATTATGAGAAAAAAAGGCCCTTTTCTTAATCGAATTGTAACCTGCGACGAGAACTGGATTCTGTTCGACAAGTAGCGACGTTCAACTCATTGGTTGGATAGTGATCAGGCTCCACAGCACTTCTTAAAGCCGAAACTGCACCAAAAAAAGGTTATGATGATTGTTCGGTGGCCTGAAGCCGGGTTGGTTCATCACAGCTTCTTAAGTCCAGAAGAAACAATCACGGCAAAGAAGTAGTGCCAAAAAATCGACGAAATGCACCGTAAACTCCAACAACAACGCCCTGAATTAGTCAACAGAAAACGACCGATCCTTCTCGACGGCAATGCCCAGCCTCACGCTCCGGAACTAGCGCTGCAGAAGTTGAACGAGTTGGGCTACGAAACTTTGCCTCAACCGCCATATTCATCAGACCTCTCGCCTACCGACTATTACTTCTTCAAGCACCTTGACAAATTCCTGCGCGAGATATGCTTTACCAACCACAATGAAGCAAAAAATGCCTACAACGAATTCATCACTTCTAAAACTCCAGAATTTTATCCAATTAGAATAAATAAATAAACAAACTTGTTTCTAGTTGGCAAAGATGTGTTTGAAGCAAGTTATAATAGCTTAAATAATATAACTAAAAACGCTCATTTATTTCTGAACAATCTAATATATGAGATATGAATAGGCGAAACGAAGCGGTACAACTAATACTTAGAAAACCACGTAAAGCGTTTCGAATGATTCTTTACATTCATGTCAATTCTTACGGTTCCTAAAATATCCCACCTTGCACTGAGTGGAAGAAATAGGAAGACCGAGCTTAGATGCCAGTAACACGGTCACAGCGGCTCCAAACTCGATAGCAAATCCACTAAAAAAGCATATCTCATATATAAGGTCGCAACGTCAATGGAAGAAATTCGTTCCTAATTGAAACAAGGATGTAAAAAAATGAGTACACGGTTAAGGGGTAGAATATCGTATGACAATTATATTGTCGCCAAAGTTTTTAAAGCCGTCGACGAATTCTTGCTGGACAAAATGGACACCACAATGAATAAATTTTAACCATTCTAGCTATATAAAGTTTGTTTTCACTATATTTATCGCACAGCTAGAATACTTATCACCTTTGAGTTAAATGCTTTGCAGGAAACAAATCCGTCAGTAATTCTTTCGTCAAGTTCTCAACCCAGACCGTGATAGTTCTTGAAACAGTCGAGAATAACCAAGAAGAGAAATGATTGCTACTATTTGTTGCGATGACGACATTATAATGAAGAACTAAACTTCCCAGCAATTTTCTACCATTTGATTATAAACTAGACTTCCTGCCACCAAAGCGATCACATTTCATGTTTTGACAAGCAAAAGTGGAGAAGGAGAGTTTTCATCGTTTGCAAAGTTAGGCACATGGATGTGGTTATCAAACGTTCCTTCATTGAGCTTCTTCCATACTATCGCAATAATCTCATTAAAGAACTGTCCTTTGCCACTTTTCTGCAGTCCTGCAACTCGGAGATCACTTAACACTTGCTTAACTCTCAAGCTTTAATACGATGATGAGATCATGAATAATACTACCATATCCTCCTATTAAATCCAGTGGGAACGCCCTTTGTTTCATTCGCAGTTTCGTACAGAGGGTTTTACAATAACATTGACGACCAAAAGGCATACTCTTCAGTTACAATGTGTCCAAATTAATTTCGTTCTCGTCGTTTTGTCACCAATAAAGTGTTTTCATATCCACTTAACTGCCTATAGAACAGACTTAACATGGATGGCGTTAGTCGAGATGTTAAGCTCAGAAGGTCTTCATAATTGCCCGCTCTACTGCGCTGTCACGAAACACCTAAACAGTTAGTTGTTCATGAACACACCGTGTCTTAACAATGAAGTAGCTAATGCAGAGGTTCCATTTTTAGAAGCTCACCGTATGCATATGAAGTGCTCAAAACTCATCTTCTTTGAAGTATATTTGGCCAATAGGAACGAAAACAGTCGAAAATGTTCTTGTTCTCGATCTATATACTCCCACTCCATACCGCTATGAGTGAAGCGATGCTTTGACTATATTATTCCAGAACTCCAATTGCACAAACCTCTCTAGGTTAGAAGTCCAGGAAAGTTTTTATTTTCATCTTACAAAATATGATGTACCCAGATTAGTACGTTAGTTAGCTTGACATTATAGCTGACTTCCTCGTTATTACCACCACATCCTTCCATGTCCCCGATGTTTGATTAAAAACCGTACTGTCACCATAATATTCAATTTTGGCAACTCAACTTGATATTTTGATCCAAAACTTTTAATTCAAGACAATGACTCTCCTTTTAACCATGGATAATTGAAATCTTGCGTAAACAGAGCGCTCTGGAACACCACATATTTACTTTAGGTTTTAGGCTAATTTCCCATCGCCCTAATCAAAGCACGTTATATATATACCCGTACCCACTATGATGCGAACCCGTAAATTTATTTACGTATGATTATTACCTCGGAGGCGTGATTTTGGTAAGATTTTCACCGACAGTGTAGATGACACGATGGCCTAACAGCCAAAGCCCGATACACATGCCGACGGCTCCATAAAGCAGAATGTACCTAGGAAATATAATTGAAACTAAGTGGTGTAAAGTGTATTGTTTCCTTGATAAGTTTTCGACGGTCCGTCGAAACTTTACCCGAATAAAGATCATATATCAACCTTGTGTAAGCTTATTAAGGAAACAATACATATTAAATAATCATACCGAGGCTAAGGGAAAGTAGGTTTTGAAATAAATGGTGTAAAGTAACACTAGCAAAAGGAAACTAAATGAATGTTTCTAAAATTACCAAGGCGTATGCAATGTCTGGAAAGTGGACCCTTCTTTGTAAATGACATATAAGGAAACCAGTGGAGCGATGGCATTGCTGAAAATTATAGCACCATAACACCTCGACTAACACAATTAATAGTGTTATTGTCTTCGTATTTTTCTCTCGTGTGAGAAACGCTTTTTCTTTTTTTTCGCGGTTTGGATAGAGTGCTCAGCTTAGTTTTAATGAAGCCGAAGGAGTATAACAGCCTGCAAGCGTCGATTTATAAAACAAGAGCGGCCTTCAACATCGGGAAACAATGCCGTAAACGACTAGTCTGGCATTCCTGTCAAAAGACTGGAATATCTTCAACAGCATACAATTGCATTACGACCCGGAAAAAAATACAGGAGAACTATAAATGGCCGACCTAACATCGTTTCCGCCGTGAGCAAAACCCCCAAAACAAGCAGTCATGACTTGCAAAAGCGAAAAAAGAAGCGCTGTCTGCGGATCTTCTGGTTTCGAAGAGCGAAAGAATGAAGCAATAGAAGACGATGGCGCGATGGTATTCAATGCTAAAAGTGAAGAATTCATTAAAATGTCATAAATTCATTCAAAAGTAGAATGCCAATAAAAACCGTTGTAAGCACTAAAGAAGAAAGTGGTCGTCACCGATTTACTAACCGTGTCCGGATGAACTAACTGCCCTCGCTTCCTTTTCCCTAATAGGAGTCTCGCTCTGGATTTCGAGAAGGGTAGTTGCTAAAACAGACTTATTGAATGAAAAATTGGGATTATTATCTATGAATGAACACATACTTTGCCCATTGGCTACCTTTAACTCATTTAAACTGTTCGATTCAAGGTTACTGCGAGCTGAAATGCATAACAGTTATTTGCCTTCAAGAAACATAAGATCCTAATGAAGGAAAACTAAAATGACTAACCGAGAATATTACGTTTCAACCAAGGAGCGATGACGAATTTAGCGAGAATAGCAGAAACCACACCAAAAAGACACGAGATGATTGCACAGTGTTTCAGAGTAAGGTGGTTGAAGTAGAGATCTGCAGATGTTATTCACAATCCCCTTCTCTCCAACTACAATGGTACATGATTTCTTAAGAACGACAGATCAGAGATACAAAAAATAGGTAGGACTAAAAGACTAATTCAATTTTGGCAAAACAGAGAACCGTGTGCGGATAATGCGCTGTAATAGGCAAGTAATAGTAATAACAATAAGTAAGTGATAGGTAAGTAGACTTTCATAGTAGTCGTAAAGTGTACGTTGAATACAACGCAACCATAGGCTTAGCTTAACTACTCGAAAAGTGCCAATATTACCTAGTTGGAAACTTGCTTGCCCCATCCTCACTGACTGTGTGGATCCCAGTAAAATTTCGGAGTTTTGCTTGTTTAGTAATTGTAGTTCTCTGCGTTACCATGATCACTCACCACCCTCTTGGATCAGACGGAGATTTGCCACTATGCGACTAGTCTGATACCAGGACGGTGGTGGATCCTAGCATTGGTTTACTATTAGTTGGGTGGGTTTCTTGATGGAAATGCCGAACACCTCAGTTTGGGAGACTCTGCTGGGAGGACGAATTCCTTCGCTGTACATCGCAACCTGACACCCATGAAAACCTCAGCCACGATTAGGTGGTAACCCGTTGGGAGGAATGCCAATATTATATTTCCGGGTATTGAAACTTCACCGAGCACACATTACGGATTAATAAAATAAACTTGAGCGATATCTAACTAAATCAGAACTCACATTCGGATCCCTCATAAATGATAGCAAAGACGTTGAAAGTCATGCATAAGAAGTAAAGTACAGGCAATATTTTGAGGCCACTATTTAGTGGATTACTCTGGAAAAGATTTCGTGCTCAATATGTTGTATTCTCAAAATCTCAAGTGATAAATAATAAACGTTCTTAATACACTTCCAGATCACGACCAACAAACGAGAAACGAACCGCTCTAAACAAGTGTTAAAAAACTGCCGTACCCTTCTAAGAATGATGTGATCAATGAAGACGAAGAAAATAACTGAAACAAGACCGGACAGAAGAGGAGATATCACCCATGATCCAACTGGAAACATGAACGGTAAAATATAGGTCGTTTTCAAGCACTGTTTTTAAAATAACTTGCGTTGCGGTATGTGTTTAGGTGAATTAGGCATCAAATCCTGTAGTCCTGATGTACTTACAAATGCGTGATATCTTCTGCCATCGAATGCCCGTAGTACCTTTGAGTATCAAAGAAAACCCGATTGTTGCACCAACGATAGAATGAGTTGTAGAGACTGGAAGCTTGAAGAATGTTGCAAGTAACATCCAGGCCCCGCACCCTTAATCGATTTTTAACTCTTGCATTTTTCTATCACAACAGTTTTCAGGAACATATGGAAGAGCGGTACCGGAAAGGATGGAGATTTGACCATAAATGAGTTCTCCTTCGCTATTATTATAAACAGACAGATCAAGCACCCCCTTCCTCATCGTATCCGTTACCTTGTCGCCTAAAAGACTTATTATAGTGACTTTGGTGAGCCAAAATTTGCATACAATTTTAAAATTAAGTGAAGGATTCACCGAGAAGGCATGCTCCCAGTGTTTCGAATATACTGGCTAGAATATATGCTTGAGTAAGCGTGACGACCTCAAAATGTTTCCCATTGCTGAATCTATAAAAGAGAAAAAGAACGGTGAATCAAATGTAACCTTACTTTGCTGCCTACACTTGTCCCAAACGAGTTTGCAGTGTCGTTTGCACCGATTGCAAACGCAAGAATGAAAGCAATCACCGCTCCGACGATGAGCCAAGGCAGCAGCGCCGACTGGAATGCCGCCAAATCACCAGTCATTCTGTGCTATTCTAAATAGCAAAAAGCAATGACAATGTTCCTTGGTGGGAAAAAAAGTAGTAGAGACAACTCTGAAGGTGCTAAGGGATATTCCACTAATGGAATCCCTGAAAACAAAAAGCCGTTAAAAGAAAGTTCATAACAGGACATAGGTGTGGAATAGAGTGATTTGGATAGCCTTACTATGCTTGGACGGAACGAAGTGCTCGCAAATCGGATGCTCGATAAGCAGTCGCCTACAGGTAGGCGAACCAAGGAAACACAGAACGAGCTGCCAAATAACACCTTTGACTGTAACTCTCACCGAATTACCCCTGGAAAAATCTTTGTTTGATAAAGCAAAGAGCATTAAATTATCAACATGAGACGCTATAAAGCATTAAATAAACTACAGAAGAAATGAGTCAAGGAAAAGTGCACTGCGACTTCACTGGGAAACAGTTAACAGTAAAAATAGGTACTAAATATGTTCCAAGACAAGGATTATCTGCAACGAAAAATACAGCCGCAAGGACATCAGGAATCACTACACAGACTAAGTTCGGGTTTCGCCTCATGAATTTCAATAGCGCATCGAGGATAAGACCAGCATCAGGCCACGAACAAGCGAAGGCACGTAACCTCGGTGTCCATCGACTGAGGCGGCAGTAGAACAAAAAGCGCGCGTGAATTCTCAGGCAGTGCATTTGCGGACCTGAGGGCCACGGATATTCTCATGCCACTGCGACGGTCGATGCTTTCAGCCAGTCCCACCCAGAACGATCTCAATGCTTCATGACTGTTTCAGACTATGCTGAAAACATTTTCCAACAACTATTTGGTCTTTATCGTCCAGAGGCGAACGTTCTCTGGTCGATGCGAGGACGACTGTAGCGTTGACATAATGGATAACAGCAATGGAGAGTCGCGAACACTATCACTTTTAGATGTTGACACAGTCGAAACAATAACAATCACAACAAGCAGTCAAGAATAATTGCATTAAGAACAAAACACTAACCCAGTCAAAACCATAATACCTTCTGTAAAAAGAATACAATCGAGATCATACGGGTCATGTATGACCACTAGCTGGGCGGGAGGAGGGCACAACCCACCGTAAGAGCCATATTCGACTCATTTCCGGCTGTTCATTTTTTCGCACAGAATTTCCCGCTGTAGTTTTGTATTCAACTGTTAGCTTTTAGCTTCTGTACGACGTGAGTAATCGAGCGGGGTCCGAAAAAACTACTTTCTACACTCTATAGTTAATGGAGAACTTGCAGAAGGTCCAAGAACGAGTGTCGGGTTTGGTGGCGCGTGTGTTGACCTGCATCCATTTGAAAGCGAACACGGTGCAAAAGGCCAAACGTGGTTATTTTTACTACACGCGAGATCCAAACAGCAAATAATTGCCGCGCTATTTTTGCGAAACATTTAGTTATTACTTTCTTAATGCATTTCAAGAAAATCCCATTGAAAAACGAAAAACACATGGAAACGAGTGATGTAAAAACTGATCACTTTGTCTTGCCCTTTGCTAAATGTTCTTCATTCGTCTGCCTGACGCACAACTACAGATACAGCTGACAAGGTTTGACAAGCAGACGAATTGTCAACGGAGATTCGGGCAATTGCACCTGGAGCAAGCATGTGGCGAGTATTCGTGTTCGCTGAGATAAAAAAAGCCGTCTGTCAGAAGCAGCAAACGCGACGGCCAATCGCTAGACAATGGGCTAGCGTGTGAGCACAGAGCGAAACACATCAGACTTTCGTTGACAGACTCAAGAATTTCGATAGCCTTCAGTTCTTGTTTGCGCCACAAGGTACTCGGATAGCGATAAAACTCTGGGCCAATATTCGGCCGTCTTGGCATATCTCCTAGCAGTGACACTCGACTGAACACAATGGCGTCGTCACAATCCTACTTGCTTGAGTTTTAAGTTCGGCTGAGGACGCGTGTAGCTCAGTGGTAAGAGGCGCCCTGAAATGTTAGCTGGACCTTGAGGGCTAGACTCACCAAGCCTCCCATCCCTCCGGGATCGGCAAATTGGTACCAGACTTGTCAAATCACTGTTTAGGGCGAAGATGCATCCGATCACCTGTAACGATGTTTGACGAAGTCGAACACATGGCACATCCCGAGGATTGATCGAGGCAGAACGCTTTATCCTTCATTCTATTAAATTTCTACGGGTTTAAGCAATCTTCTAGACCACTATTTCAATCAGCCGTGAATACGACATGGTTCTTCAGAGCTGCGACGAGTTCAATTGATACGGCAAGAACATTGTTCGACATTTCGTTGCCTTCATCTTACTTGCCAACGAGGTTTTACCACTAGAAGCCCGATATGAAGCAGTACTCTGAGAAAATCTCAATCACCCCTGTTGTACTTTTATTTTTAGACAGTATTAATAGCGACAATGAAGTCTAAGCAGCGGTTCACATGTTTTCGTAGCTCGTGACATAGAAGGGAACAAAAGAAACACGGGTAAATATTAGTGATAAAGACTCAAACGTTTGTTTAGCGACCGAATAACCGAATCAGTGAACGAATGATTCTTATCAATCTAGGGGTTTTCAGAATCGACGAAGCGAATAACGTGGTGAATGGCGACATGCTCTATGTTAAAAGCAGTTCGTTACTCAGTGAACACAGGAAATGGACAAGGAAGATGGATCCATTAATACTGCGGAGGAGTGGAAGCCATTGATCATGCGAAAAAAAGACTGGAGAAGGACCGATACTCTGTAAGACACTCGAAAATATGAGCAACTCGTCGTAGAAAGCGGAATCGAGGTTTCCCGGGTACTCATCGAAACTATAAAATGGAATACCAAGGAGAAACATTGGTCTAACTTTAACATTTCGGGTATTACGTCATTTTGACGATGAAAACGTTCCTCTTCTCGCTGTACCAACAGATCTCGCTGATCTTCAAGCATTTATATGCACAATGTAAGATGCAAATGTAATACAACCATAACAGTGCTGAGATATTTGCAAAACTCCGGACCGCCGGTGCCTGTGGTGGAGACCGAACACGCTATCACCCTTTCCGGCAGCTAAAGCGTTCACCACCACACCATACGACTCCTTTTTCATGTAATGTAATATGTAATGGCACATTCAAAGTACATACGTCGCAATATTGATGATGGAATGCTGTTCGAATATTCCAGAAAATAAGTGGGCAGCAAGTGGGAGAATCCACAACTAAAACAACCAAGTTCAAGCAAATGTCAGTTGTGGATGGCACCAGAGAGTTGGTGCATTCGAACGATAAGGCCTTGATTAAAGTGACAAACTTGGCCGTTTTATTTACTGCCTACTCTTTTTGATGGCAGGGTATATTGCGAAATATGACTTTAATGATACTGAGATGTTTGCAAAACTCCGGACCACAGGTGTCTGCGGTGAAGAACGAACACGTTATTGTCCTTTCTGGGGAGTGACGGGTTCACCACCACACCATGCGGGTCCTTCGTTTTACCTGCCTCTCAGCTAGCTCTATCGATATTTCGCAATATCCCAGCCATCAAAAAGAGTAGGCAGCAAATAAAACGGTTGAGATTGTTATTATAACTAAAGCCTCAGCTTAACTGGGTTCATTGATGATTTGAGCTCCCCAAATCAATGCCACTGACGGGTGATTGCTGATGGCAGACATTGATAGAACTAACTGAAAGAGAGGCAAAGCGAAGGACCCGCATGGTGTGGTGGTGAACGCGTTACTTCCCGGAAAGGACAATAGCGCGTTCGTTCCCCACCGCAGACACCTGCGGTCAGGAGTTTTGCAAATATCTTAGCATCATTAAAGTGACAAAGTCGAATGGAAAACACCTCCGCAAACCACATCATCATTTTATGGCAACCATTTAGACGTTTTGATCAGGTCGTCCAAATTATAAGGACTTTATTTCCACATACAGCAGCATTTTAGCATCTGAGAGTTCAACAAGGAAAGGAATTCCATACAAAGAACATATAGTCGCAGCGAAATACAGTAATTCTGACAATGTGGGAAAGTACTTGGAAACAAGGACAGCGCCACTTACAAGAAAGGGAAACAAGTCAGATGGTTGTACTACAGTAGACAAAATGTTTACAAATATTCTATGGAGATTACGAGTCAAGACCTGGACAGCAGTAACAACGGACGCAGAACTTCTTTCGCTCAATGGTCATTTCGCGGAAGCATACTCGTATTTTTTGAATCTTACATGAAAAAACCCTTGTAAAAACAAGACAGCGAAGACTGTGTAGAATTCCTTGCAGGTTTTCACGCTCTGTCGGTAGTTCAATCGATCTGATTTATTCTTCTAACCTTTCTACAGCACCCATGGAGAGAAAGCCTTGTGAATATCAAACCCCTCGTCCCTTTCGACGACCTTAAGGATTTCAACTCTACAATTGGACCAAGAAGAGCTTCAGATGGGAATCCAAGCGTAGGGAGAGGACGATCACGATCAACCGCTGCCTGAGGTTTTAGTTTTTTATAAATGGGGCTGGCGCCGTAGCTCACAGTTCCAGAAGTCTTCTTCTCAATTTTTGTTCCGGTTAATAATTATTACTATAACTTGATACACGTATTTGAATTGGATGTTAAAATCATTTTCTCAACAAAACTACTACATTTCCAAGAACAAACTGAGGCCTTTATTGTAGCTAAGCAAAATCGCCAATACAATATAAACTCTTAAAACTTTTAACGTAACACCCAATCCGGTTTACATTTGGAGGAATTTGAGGACTGCACCACCACTTTATACTGAACGTGTGGTCACTTCACTGCTTAAGAAGCAAACCTCGACTGTGGAAACAGAAAGTGTTCGCAAGCCAAAGGCAATTACAAACTGTGCAAACAGTCAAATGAAGCTTTTAATTTTGAACTATCTGCTAAGTGAGTGTCATGAAATCGACTCTATAAACAATTGCTGGGATGGTCAGATGCATATTCGATCCTTACTGTAGCTCAACTAGCACTTTTTAAAGTCGACGTTTGTACCTTCTGAGAGAAGGACAGTACCAATTCGTCGATCTCGAAGATATACAGAGCTATTTTAGCCCTAAACACAGGCTTCTACCTATAACCATGTGCAGGGCAGTGAATCTCTAAGCACTGCGTCGCACACGGGTCATACATACCTCTTACTAATGGATCTGTACTGCACTAGTAAAGAACCTCCAACTATTTCAGACATGCGTGTGAATGGTCCTCTAAAAATTCAAATGAACGATCCATCGATGTAGATTCAAACGAAAAATATGACCTTGTTAAAACAGTCTAGTATCTGTGCTGAAAGTCCTACTTAAATCAGTGTTTAAATCGCACTAAGGACACTACGAAGGAACTGCTAACCAGGAAAATATTTCTAAACTACATCCAACTGCAGCACAACACAAACGGTTAATGGCAAAGCTGGGAATTATTAGTTCTACTTTTTGTCCTTCTTTTACAGTTCTTGCAATCTTTGGTAATGTCTGTGTTACTTCTAACCTTTTTAATCATTGATCAACTCAAGTGGACCCGCTCATTTGAATTTCGCTCTCTCACTCGCCCGCTTATTCAAAAAAAGCAAATGATTGCAACACTGTTTTGTTGCCATGAAGCTACTTCACTTTGTGGTTTGTTGCGAATCTAGTAGCTTGTAAGACTCTTCTATGATACAGGTTAACTGCTAACTGACCTATGAATAGAAATTTCGAACTTCTCAGCACAGGTGGCTCTGCTTAGGACATGAACCTCCTGCTTTATGTCATAAGAACATTCAACAGGTATGGCTAAACCATTAGGGTTTGGTAGCAGATAAACGGTAATAAGAAAGAAAGTGGAACATAAAAGGAAAACAAACATTATGGTCTTCAAGGATCGCTCAGGTAATCACGCTAGAAGGAAGGGCGTCTTGAAAAAAGGGAAACTGGGAAATGAATGACTACTTGAGTAGCTTTCTGCAACGAGAACGGTCAATAAGGTTGCACCATTCTCCATGCCATTCCGACCTAGATCCTCTAGAGAAAATCCTGGTTGCAAACAGAGGTCTGAATGCATGCAAAGCCTGAGGGCATAATGCTTCCGATAAATCCCCTGCATCAAATTATCATATCCATCATCACAAACAAGTCTCCAGACAGATCATAAACTCAGACATCACACTTTTGTAGAAAACACAGCACGCTTCATGAAGTCCAAAATGGTCCCGAAAAGAGGATGTGCCCACAAGAATAATCCGTCGTTCATTCTAGTGAGATGAGTTTGAGACAATGTAAAAACCGGTTTATTCAAACTGACCATGTGACCTCGACCCACCTAAGAGCGAAGACGTCCACCCGTTAGCCGAACGAACATTTTTATCAACCTCCTGTTATCTTAAGAATCAAAAGAGGTACTGATTATTAACGCCAAGGTTAAATCACGGACGGTTTAAAAAGTATCGATTTGCTATCCGTCATATAACCTTAGAGCTTCATGATTAGGGTTAACGCATGATGTACTGAGATGTGTCGTCGCGTAGGACTCCAAACCAACGATATGGAAATGAGCACCAATTATGAGGCCGTTTAACTACCGTCATTTTGAACCATGTTAAAACCAGTTCAAGGCAGCCATCGAATTATTTAGATATGACGGCTCAACTAAGCAATTCATGAATTACACAGTTCATACCTTTAGCAAAAATTCGTCTGCTGTAGAGCGAAAGAAGACCGGTGACTGAAAAATACTAATGAAAGGGTCTCAAACCATACAAAACGGAAACGGCTCTGAAGAAGGCGAGTTGCCTAGCCAACGAATTCCAAGAATCCGTGATAAAAATCTGGTGTCGTCGGCTCAACACGGACAGTTCGTCGGCTTTAACGGTTTGACGAGCACGTGACTCGAAGTGATGTCACGGCTGTCCAGTACTAAGCCCAGGGTAGGGTTTAATAATGCAGCTTTCGTACCCAACCACAGCTCGTCAGATACAGATCCAGCACCAAGAGCTGTTCATGAAAAACTGTCCTCAACACTTAGTAAGTTGCTGAAAACTTCTTTCGGACCCCCTTTTTTCTTCTTTTTTTGACGACGGCGAAATCAACGACGACGGTCAATAAAGTAGCTTTGTTGGCATAGAGAACTCAAGTTTTTTTTTTATTAAGTGCAGTTTCGAAGATGCAAAAATAAAACTGTGAACGGGTGATTGCTAATGGCACTGATCAACAGAAAACTAGCTGAAAGATAGGCGAAACGAACGACCCATATGGTGTAGTGGTAAACGCTTTAGACCCTCGAAAGGGTAATAGCGTGTTGGTTCCCCACCGCAGACACCTGCAATCCGGAGTTTTGCAAATATCTCAGCATCTATCTTTGTGGTTGAGTCACCTGCCATGAAAAAATGTTATAGGCAGTAAATAAAAGGTTAGCACTGTGAATAGACTGTCCAACTTTTTGTCTACTGCCCACTTTTTTCTTCACAAGGTATGATGTCAAATACAACTTCATTAATGCTGACATTTGCAAAATTTAGACCCCAAGTCAGATTCGAGCCCGTTATTACCCTCACCAGGTCATTCCCGTTGACGAGCGGTTGCTAATGGCACCATTAGGCTAAAAAACAGGCTGAGAGAAAAGAAAAGTAAGGACTTCAGTGGTGCAGTGAGTAACAGGTGACCCTCCTGAAGGGCTAATATGAATAGATATTGTTACCGCAGTGACTCATTCATTTAAAGATTTTCCATAGTTCAAATTCAAATTTAAAGAAATCTTTGACACTTTGCACTGAGCAGCAGTCGCTGCCATTCTAGATCGAACCCAGTCGCAAAGCAACAAGTGTTCCTCCATTCCTCAACGACGGCGGATTGCCTGTTCTGAGAAGCAGCGAACACACCAGCACGACAAACAATCTTTGGATTCCCAGGGAAGGCTTCGAACAACATTTAGCATGTCAACAAAAAGATAAGCGATATATCCTCGGATCTAAAAGACAAGAAAACGGGAAAATCGAAGTACATGAAGATGAGAAGACAGGGCGAGGAAGTATTGTATCTAAGGAAATACAGCGGAGCAAAGTACAGCACAAAGTGCATCACTGTCATTAGTGAACAGTAGAAAAGTGGTACGAAATTACTACTTTGTCAGTATGAGCTTATGTAAACATCCACAGACAGACTGCTGTCTACAAAGTGCATGTTGGATATTCCAATTCGAAAGCGAAGAAGAGCCACATATAGCCGCGCCATAAAGGTTTCAGAACTGAAAGGCGACATTGAACTCTTCAGGGACTGTCAGAAAGTAGTGAATGGAAGCATTCGACAACGTCCTCAGTCAAACAGTAACGGTTCACAAGTAGGCATTTCATTTATACTCGTACAAACAAGTAATCTTTGCCATTAGCAAAGGGAAAAAGAAGCATTTTTAGGTGAAATAAAGACGTAAGAGCAAGAGCAAGGATATCTTGAGATCCACAAATCCGCATAGTTGAAGCTTGTAGACGCCGAAGGCGGCTGTGCACGAGGGATCACAGGGATGGCGGACGGCGTCGGAGAGCAGCACGAGGCGCGGCACACATCGCGCCACCTAACACACGGCAAACCTCCGCACTTCCAGAGAACGCCCGCTATCAGGGCTGGACAGGGCACGAACGATCTCCGGGATTAGGTCAATGAGGTCTGGACCGGGTTTATGCAATTTGGTTAGCCCTTAAGTGGATGGCGAAGTAGTTTCATCGAAGCTCGTTCCTTATACAGGTCTTCCAATAAGTGACTCATCAGTGTGTCAGGTCTTGTTTACACGTACGCCATCATTGTCGTGGTCAGTTTGTGGCGAGAAACGACTTCCCGGACGGTCATCCCAGGTGGGTTCCACCGACACCGCGCCAGGAGTCCCATGCGGATTGTCCTGTCGCCGGTGTCGGGATGTCAGCTGCGCGCCGGTTGTTGTGTGTTTTGCCCTCGACGTTGATCAGTCGAAAGGCTGCTCTCTGAGTGGATTGGAGTGGTCGTAAGTGGACCATCATAGCCATGGCAAGCCTGTTAGATTTTCTACAAGTCAATAAACAGAAGGTTTGTCGTTGTGTGTCTTCATTTACTGTTATTTCGAAACGAATAGCAAGGTATCTGACTGAAATCTATGTAGATCCATCAAACTGCCTTTTATTTCTCTGAGCGCCCAGGTCAGAGACTAGAGAATTCCTACGGACTGTAGTCCTTTCTTCACATGCACTTGTGGTACTTCATGAAATAACCAGGTACTGACGTGAAAACCATGTCTTATGGTACCGGATTTCTTCTGTACTCGGTGACGGTTTTTTGCATTTATCGATCGCCGGTTAGGTTTCATTTCAATCGATGAATCAACTTCGTGGGGTTGCCGGTTTATTGCAATTCTTACTAGTAGACAGACACAAGGTATATTCGATTTGTTCAGATATCAGATGCGTTTCGTTATTACCCCTTTTCCCTTCTTCCCTAAGATATTGGTACTATTTCTGCAATCTGTCTTCATTAAAGCTTCCTTGAACGGCATTCCTAATCTTAACAATCATTTTGTAGACATTTCGACCGAAGAAGCGCTTTCCCGAGGGCACCATGCGCTACAATTTGCACAAGAAGGCTCAGGCGACGCTCCATTCCGGCGTTGACCTTCGAACGGCCGTACGACTACCTGTGAAGGAGAACCTCGATGATTGGATCGCTGTACACAGTGAGTAGGTGGAGTAATCGTTTCTCCGGGAAAGATCGTTTCCAGCATAGGCAGAGTTCATAGGCAATGAGGAGCAGTTGTCCAACGTAGTTGTAAATCTTGAAGATACGATTTTCTGTGTTAACATTTTTTAATTTACCGCCTACTAAAATTTTCGAGGCAGGGTATTATGCGAAATCAACCGTGCTGCGATATTTGCAAACTCGAGACTGCAGGTGTCTGCGGTGGGGATCGAACACGCTATTACCCTTTTCGGGAGCTAAAACGTTCGTCACCATACCATGCGCCTTTCTCTAAGCTAGTTTGATATCTTCCGATGCCATCAGCAGTCACCCGTTAACGGGATTGATCTGGGGAGCCCAAATCGACATTGAATGTTAAGCCGAGGATGCAGTAAATACGATTTTCCCACATGTTTGGTCAGTTTTGTTTACACAACCTTATCGCTAGTTGTTTGCATGTCATGAATGCGAACTACCTTCGTTATCATTGGTTCACAACAATTTCGTGTTCGTTTCTGAACATCTATTTAGCTGTGGACTTCTTCAATCGCATCAATTTGATGTATGGTACCATTGCTGATGTGTGCACAAAGGAATCTTGTCCAACTATGTCCGGTGGATTAAAGTTAGTTCATTGTTTTTTTTTCTCCTTGTGATTTATAGTTACTTATTTGGATACTTGTATGGCTCATCCTCACTGATTGCGTGGGCCCCAGCATAATCTCTATTTTTTCGGAGTTTTGCTGGTTTAGCCACTGCGGTTCCTTGGAGTCCCGAGGTCAGTCAGGCCAAAGTTTGCTACAGGTCATCACCACCACAGGCAGTCGCCGCCCTTGTGGATCATAGAGAGATTTGCCACCGTGCGACTAGTTTGATACCAGGACGGTGGTCGATCCTGGATTGGTTTATTCTTAGTTGGGTTTCCTGGCAGAAACGCCGGACTCCTCAGCTTGGGAGACCCTGCTGGGTGGTAGATCCTCCCGTTCTACATCGCAGCCGGACACCCAGAAACAACTCCCAGCCACGATGAGGTAAACCATTTGGAGGTGATTTATAGTTTAGTGATCTATAATTTGTCTAAGTAATGTGAAGTTTAAGTTATTAATTCGAATAATACGTGATCAATAAGAAAATTTAGAGAGACTAATAGGTCCAGCCTCAGATTTCTCCATTTTTTCCTCAAGTGGTCCTCATATGATCTTTATTTCTCGTTATTTATTCTCTCGAGTATTAATTTTTGCATAGGGCTTCCTTGACTTCAGTTCCTCCCGAATCACCACTTCGTCATCCTCTGTTCCAACTGTATCTCTTGAGTAAAGATTTGGGCTTGACACTTTGCAAAGAAATTTTTGCTTATTGCCCTTTTTTGTCATCATGGAAGTCTCCTTCCTATGATGTTTAGATACGAATATCTATGGCAAGATGGCGGTGACTATAAGAAGCCAACTCGTCTACCAGCACCCGAATACATGGTGTTGTTAATGGATTGGATTGAAATTCGGATCAATGACGAAGCGATTTTTCCTACTTGCACAAGTTTGTCTTTCAAGGATAATGTTATGAACAATCAGATTACTTCTAGATGTTGTGCTTATACCTCTTTGATGGTTAGTTATAGAGCCGTTTGCAATAAAATGTCTTCCGTATGGAGTTCACTTTGAGCTTTGCAGGTGTGCCATTTCCAAGAGACTTTCGACAGATCTGTAAGAAGATACTCACCCGACTTTTCCGTGTTTTCGTACACGTTTACATTCATCATTTTGACCGTTTAGTGGACATAGGTGCGGTAAGTCTGGACCCACTTTGTTATTGGCCACATTTTCAGCACTTATCCGTACCCCGTAGGACTTTTCTTTTAGAAATTGTATGGAATAAGTCTTATCCTCTGTAATAATAACTTGGTTTTGAAAATTTCGTTTTTATAAAACTTGACTTATTCAGGAGCCACACGTTAACACATTGTACAAACATTTCTACTTTTTCGTGACCGAATATAATTTGGTCTCATCGAAAGAGCTGGAAGCGCTGGTGGGTTATTGTTATTAATTGCAAACGTGATATTCCGATCCAAACCAAGATTTGGATTACCTTATCTTTTGTCGTCGGTAATCCTTGTTCTTTGGTTGTCAAGTGAAGGATAAAAGCTTTGGTTTGTGGACGTTTAGATATGTTTGGATGTGTGTAAATATATATATATATATATACATTTGTGTATGCATGGACATATATCTCTCTACAGGTGTGTATACGTGTATACGTACATGATTATGTGTATATGCTCGTATATGTATAAATATACAGGTATATATATATCTATATATAGGTACATGTTAATAAGTGCTTATATTCTGTTCTATTCTATTCCTTTCATTATCTACACATATGTATATATGTAATATATATATACATGTATATACACATATATATAAACAATATGTAAAGGGTAGAATAGAGTATATATACATGTTTAATACAGTAGATATAGATATAGATCGTATATACATGTCTGGTATATGGATATGTCAATAAATAAATATATATGTATGTATATGTGAGGGGCGTAGACCTGTTTACAAGGAGTCTGTGTTTTTCAAGGGTTACAATAATGGAGAGGTAATATTTCAGAAGGAAATGACGGAACGACTTCTGGAAAACAGTCAAAACCGTCGAATCAGGAATGCACAAGCTAAGCCGGACATTTAATTTTTTCTTTTCTTATTGAGGCATAGGTTTCCGCAAATGTTCTCTTGCCGGTTGTGCCTGTTAGGGGTGTGGTTGTTTGTTTTTCACTTCATCATTTCCTTTATAGGCCTTTTGAGGCTTTGTCTCAATACTTTAGATCTTTGTGTAGTATTTACACCAAGTGTCCCTTTCAGAGTTGGATTTCATAGGGTCTTCCTGGTTGCTTTCATATTCACTATTATTGCATTATTGAAGTATATTCTTCATTGAAGGATACGAGCATAGTTGTCATCTCATGAACACAGGGTTTTGCCAATGCAGATCTGTTCAGAGGCCCTAGATTATATTTTTCTTTGCTGGCAGATAAAATAGGTGGAAAGCTTTGTATATATAATAATCAGTCTGATATTTGTTGAATTCTGCATGGCTCAGAATCTGTTTGAAACAAAAAACTTCTACCCAAAAGAGACTTATGGCTAAAGGCCGTATTCGCAAAGGTTGATAGGAACTGGTGCCGACCGATCTGCGAACCCTTTTATTGAACCTTTTGCTCTACATTTAGTTCTCCTGCGTATTTTGTTGGTGATATTCATATTTTTTGTTTCCTGTATGTCTTCTAAGTTCTTTCATGTCTTGCCATTTATGCATTTAGAACATTTCGGACTTTTGTTTGTGGTGAAGAAAGAAAACTTCGACTGTGTTCTTAGCATCTTGTGGTTGGCTTAGCAATATGTCTGGAGTAGATTTGAGTTTTTTTTACGACAGTCTATTCCATAGTCTATTATAATAATCGTAATTCACTGTAGTGTACAGAAGTAGAATAATAATCAATTACTTGGATACATGGGTACTTCGACGGCCCGTCGTCACTGGTTGTGCGGACCCCAGCATACTCTCCATTTTTTAGAGCTCTGCTGGGCAAGCCTCTTTTTGGTTTCCTGGAGCCTCGAGGTCGGCCTAGCCAAGGTAAGTCTCAGGTCGTCACCACCACAGCAGTCGCCACCCTTCTGGATCAGAGGGAGATTTGCCACCGTACGACAAGTTTGATACCAGGACGGTAGTAATGGATTCTGATATCGGTTTACCCATAGCTGGGCTTCCTGACGGAAACGCTGGACTCCTTCTCAGCTTGAGAGATCGTGCCGAGGGGATGAATCCCTCGCTGTACGTTGCAGCCCGGTACCTGGTAAGACCTCCCAACCACAAATGAGGTGGTAAATCGTTGGGAGAAGCAATCAATCCAGTTAGAATTGATTCTTACATGCTTGACACATGGTACTTAGTGTTGGTTTTTCGGCGGCTCAAGTAGTTGAGGGCTTGTAGTTTATGGGATTTTGCTCTATCGTTCTAAATACATGTGTAATTCTTCTAAAGTACTGTTTTCTTTCAAGTTTTGCTGGAAATCGGGATTTCTAGAAGGACTATGGAACGGATTCAAAGTTTGAAAGTCCTGAAAACAAAGGCGGTAGCAGCGGACATCAACATTAAATTGTGGAACGCCGTTGTGTTAATGGATTATTGTAGCAATCTATTAGCAGAATGGTAGACCATGTGGCTGGTGTAAACGGGAAGAGAACGGTTTCGATAGTTTGATAGCAAAAGTGCACAGCTCTTGGTTGGGTCTGTGCATCTCGTCGTCTTCACTATCAATTTATGACAACTGACAGATTCCCCATGGTACTGGTCCATCTTCAATTTGCCGACAACGGACAAGATTTGTTGCACAGAACTTGATTTCTTATCGAGTTGTCAGTCGAAATTGACAGGTAAGCTACATACCTGTCATAAAGGTGTGCGCTAGTGGTTCACTCGTGCCACTTAACGTTCTATCGATACAGACCACAGAGAACGCACAAATACGGGATCAAGGCGTTAGAATATGTGTGGTGCTAAGAGAGGCTGCGCATAAACGATTATGTTATATTCCACGTGATTGGATCGGTAGCGATGGATCTCATGGGCGACCTGCTTGTCGATATCAATGTTAGGATAAGGGATGAAGTGTTCGGCGCCAGTGAACCCGTGAAGGATGCGTCATGCATTCGACTTCATCAAGCATCGTTAGAGATGACTGAGTGCGTCGCTGTTCAATGCAGTGAAACGTGGTGAAGTACCGATGTATCGAATCAGTGCTGCTATCCTCCTAGGCAAGTCTGGTACCAATTTGTCTACCCAGGATGGATAAATTGATGAGCTCGTGGCGCAAGATCGAACAAAAGATTCCATAGCTATGGCAGGAAACCTCTAATCACTGATAAGGCAACAATTAAGCGATAGGTGGGTTTTAAAATGATGTGCGTCAGTGATACACGCAGTAAATGTATGTTGCAATGGGTGCAAAGAGATTACTAACAAAGACGACATCTTCTTCCTTCAGTGAACATAGAGGAACTGTAATGAAGGGTAATTATTTGCACACCAAGGCATCATATGGTGAATTTGTGAAGCCAGGTTCAATCTCAGGAAACATTATGCGTCCTCCAACTCGAAGATCGTCGAGGTTTTTCCAACTTTCAGGGCGTTAAGAGTGAGGTTACCATGGAAATGATGGCCATAGTTGTTAGTTCTACCCAGTGAGCAAGGTTGGCGCTCCTGTTTGTTTCCCCTCAATAGAGCATGAGTGTCATAATGGCTGATCAAGGTGAGCAATAGCTGTACATATTTTATATTTTAATTTAAGCTGTTCTTCATCAACATGAGGAAAAAAGACTTGACCATATGCCTAAATTTCTCCATTGTTCCTATCATAGAATATGTTCGGCAATAAACGCAAGAAAGTCCTGGTGTGAGTAGCAAAGTGCTTGTAGGTGCCCTGCAATGCACATACGGTGTTTGATTCGTTCTCTGTAACAAGCTCAACAAGCTTTCATCCCTCTGGGTTGGGGTAAATTTGTAAGAGACTATCTGAGAAGATAGCAATAAGAGGATGTTTTACACTCTTATGTTTATATTCATAAATCTTCGATTTCATACCATTATTAAAGTACAGTTTCTTTCTAAAATGTTACTGTAACTGTCTTCCATAAACTCAGGACGCACGCTTATCTGATTAGTGGTCTTTGTGCGGAACTATGATGAAGAGGTAACCGATACTAGCCAATTCTCGAAGCGCTCAAGCTGACAATGCGGGTGAGCATTCTCATGCAGAAGAAGAACTTTGTTCTTCAAGTCGCTAGCTGTGAATGTTTTGCCGAAGAGTAAAGTTCAACAGCGGGATGCTGCATATCAGAGATGAGCCGATTGCAAGGATCAAGGGTAGGACAACATTGCTCTCTGATCACACCAAAGAGAACAAAATGAATGCTTGGCTACTGCTGATGTGCTGGCAATTGCCCACCTAGAAAGCATTCACTGCTGCAAGTATGGGTGATAGGAAGCACAAACCATCATTTATTGTGACAGTTTGCTTTTAAACTTTTATGTGATCAAAGAGGTGGTGATTCGCAGAGCTTGAAAAAAACGACGCTGTTAGAGTCGATGGGGATTCATGTAGCGGATTCTGACCGAGGTTAGCTCTAAATGGTTTACCTGAGAAAACACTACATTGACTAACGTCGTTGGCTAACGTTATAAGTAGCAGTCTTTGAAGCTGCTCATTCAGCATTACTGGTCTTTGTTTAGAGTACGTATGTTTTTGGATCATAGTTGTGGATGCTTGGACAGTTAGTATGGCTATCGATAGTTCTTTCTTCAGGGTGGTTTTCGTATATTTCAGTGATTCTACTTTTATGAACCATAGTGTACACTACCTTGGATATTCGCATTAAATTTTGAATACGGATCTTATTTAAACGACTGTACCAGTAAAATTTCAGCTAAACCTACTTATTCTGCCCTCCGTTCAATGATACTCCAATTGACGCCAGGTGATTCAAAGTGTCGTTTGTATTGTAAAGGGCCGGCTTGCTTGTACTGCAATGTGTACCATGGAGAGAGTGCCATTCCAGGTCTTTATTCAACATGGTAGGTGGTATAATTATGACAACATGTTGATATTTGGTTATTGGCAAGAACTTTTCAATAAATAGTTAAGTTTTAAATAATCGAGAGTGTAATCTTGATACGGTACTGTTGTGGTATGCTTCCAGTGCTGACTTGACACTTAACACAACGACCCGTCCTCACTGGTTGTGCGGGCCCCAGCATAATCACCACTTATCGGAGATTTGCTGGTTAAGCCATTGTGGTTCCCTGTAATCCCGAGGTCAGCCTGGCCAAAGTCTGCCCCAGGTCTTCACCACCACAGGCAGTCGCAGCCCTTGTGGATTAGAGGAAGATTTGCCACCATGCAACTTTGATACCACGACGGTGGCTGATCCTGGTATTGGTTTACTCATAGCTAGGCTTCCTGATGGAAACGCCGGACTCCTCAGCTTGGGAGACGCTGCCGTGGGGACGAAACCCCACACTGTACATCGCAGTCCGACACCCAGGAACACCTCCCAGCAACGATGAGGCGGTAAACCGTTGGGAGGTGGTGCTGATACATAGAAGTAATATAGAAATAAGCACCAAAATGGGTTTTAAAGCGAGTTTTCTTTTCCTTCTAATCCGTGCAAATCGTACTGTGGGATTGAATGTACAATAAAGATGCTCTCGAACAACCACGTTGTATAGTAAGGCTTGAAGCTGGCCTTTCCAGAACTGGCAATGGTTTCTCGATTTTTAGAATTCTTAGAAGTAGGGAGCTATTTGCAGCTGAAGAGGAGACCTGCCCTTATCGCCTTGCCTAATTTTCTGTCTCTGAACAGCACTACTTCATTTTCGAATATGTTTAAAATTAATTCCTTGAAAAAAGTTGAGGTAAATTTTACGCTTTTGAAAGAGAGAACGCGAGAGCGGTGGTGCAAATATAAGCGATGCCTTATGGAAGGTCATTCCCTCAATTCCGTTTGCTTCATTTGCTTTCGTTTTCGAAACACGAACTTCAACGAAGGAAAAGTTCTGTTGGCTCCAAAAAACCGCAGTTTCATCCTGTAGGATTTCATAATTTGCTGTTATAGGCAAAGATCTTTAGATTTTAGTAGTTTTTATTTCAAACAACAAAGTTTATGCACTGAGATGTGTTGTCTTGAAGTTGGAAGTGGCCACTGCTTTCATATCAAATGCATAGAATCCAGTACATGTAGTAGGTTGTGTTTTGGCGTTGATGACATGCAACCACTTTCCCGTTCTCGAAAGTCTATAAGGAACACGAATGAACTTGATGTTTGTACTGTTTTCACAATGGATTTATTCTCTATCAGAGGAGTACTGATATTGGTATGGGCAAGTTTGGCACAGTGATAGGATACGCTCTGCAATACACATGGAATTGATCCCAGCACCTCTGATCTGGACCCAACCAATTAACGCTTTCTTGGCTCTACACCTTATTAACGTTTCGAACCGCTTGTGCTGTGTATATCTGAGTTTAAATTCGTAGATGTCGATTTTCAAAACTGCTCTTTTAACATTTCAGTTTCTAGCTTTGCCAAAGCATAGAAGAAAAATATCCCTGCGAATCTGAAATTCATTTCCAAACAACCTGGTAGCTTAACATTGAAACAAGACACTATCGTATACGTAGCATTTTGTTTGCCCTGTCAGCAGAATGTAGTGCTCGTGTTCTGTGCTGTGAAATTGCGTGGAGATAGAAGTAATTGAATGTAATGAAGTCGTTCTACGAAAGTCCACAAATTTTTACTCAGTAATAGTATAATGCAGAAAAAATGTAACGATTTCGAAAGTTGGATGGAATGTCTTCGAATCCAAAATGACTTTTTAGATTTTTTACTTGTCCTAAAGTTCCGAGAACGGCGAATGAAATAAGCACTTCTATCCCCTTTTTCAGAATATTTTTCTTGATAGTTGTTTACAACCATCACTAGTAGATTACTTAGTAAAGTGGGAAGCCTCAATGTGTTCCCGAAATAAATCCAAATATACTTTTATTGGAATGGTCTATCTCTAAGAATATAACGACGAGCGTACGACTGTGTCCCTTCTATGAATTGCTTTTGATTACTACAACAAAATGTAAGTAGACAAATGCTGCATAAATTCTGTAGAGATAAAAGGATAAAAAGGACAAAGTTCTCGGCGTTGATCAATCCCTGAGAGGTGCGCCATGCACTCGACTTCATTAAGCATGGTTTGGAGATCATTGAATGCACATCTAGCCCTTAAAATGACTCGCGGTGGCCAACCGATGTATCGAGCCATTATTGCTATCCTCCCAGACAAATCTGGTGTCAATTTGCCAAACCCGAAGGTTGCTGGGTCTTGGATGCGGGGATCGATTCCACGTGTGTGTTGCAGGACACCTCCGACCATTGTGCCACACGTGCCTCCTTTTGTGGAGGTAACAAGTTAAAAAACCTAAAAAGACACTGCGGGGAGATCTTGCATTTTGTTTCTCTTTCATGATGCTTTTTACTGTTACTACATTAAGGATCACAGACAATATTCTCGCAATGGCCAGACCACAGGCAGTGCACTTTGAAAATGATAAGATAATTCAGCTGTTTAAAAGGTAAACCATCCTTGTTCTTGATTCCAATTCTTTTAGTAGGACTGGTTTTTCTTCACCAGCAATCAATCTGCTTAAGTAATAGGCATCTTGGGCTCATGCCAACGAACTAAACAAGTGAAAGCCCTGCCGACTACGTTTTTCAATAAAATCGAAAAGTGATTCATCAAGTGAACTGCAACGTATGATCCATTCGAAGGAATTGAAAGACTCTAAAGTGACAGGCGTGATTGGAAATCAGAGTAAATCTTGAGTGCTAAATTGGTAATGGTCAGAATAGGGATAATAGAAATAACTTAAACACTGCGTATAACTTTTTGTCCACTGCCCATTATTTTTTTCACGGCAGCGTATTATGTGGAATACACGATACACGTATTTGCAAAACTTGGACCCCAAGCCAGATCGAGCCGTTCTTCACCTTACTCAGTTTAGCCTCTGGAAAAGATAACTACGGTTCGATTTGACCTGAGGTTCAAGTTTTGCAAACTTGTTTCTCAATTTTGAGTTCTGGAAAATAAGCCAAAATATCCTTAGTTTTATCAAGACGAGACATTTCATGAAACGCATCTGTGAAACTATGATATACGGTTCTTAAGTATCCAAGCGACTGTGATTACAAACAAGACTTCACAAACCTCTTATAGCACTATAAGTTTTCACTATATGTGGTTCAGGAATAATATTAGAGCTGTCTTCAATCTCCAAGAAGCTGGAGAGCACTCATTCTGTGGCACGGGAAATCTCACAGGTGGCTTCAGCTATGATCCTGAATGTTTGATGAAAAATGAAAGTGGGTCTTTCTGTGATAGATTATGAGACGATTAATCTTTACTAGAACATAGTATTTGAGTTAATAGCGTAACTCGAAAAAGTCGAAAAGTTGTTAACTGGATGCCATCTGCGTTTCGTTTTCCATTTATGGTCCCATGAATCTCAGCGGCGACATTCTTTCGAAGGTCTGGAATTTTCGTTTAATGTTGTGGGTCATCTGTCACCTGTCACCTATATCCTCAGTAGATAAAACCTAATGCGTAACTTTTCTTTCGCACAATAAACAGCTTTTTCTAAATACTCAACGTGTTGTTCTTTGTAATGAACTCGTCCGTAATATTGTACAGGAGCGCAGTCACGCAGTTCTTTACCCTCTCGATCGAAACTTGGACTTCAAAAGTCCAGGCGCGAAGAATCTGGACAGGTTTTGGTAATTCGCTATTTAAAAAGAGAAGTGTGTAACCTCCGCTCTATCTATCGTACACCACTTCAAAGGATAGTGGAAGTTACAGTGAAAATTCCGTTTCCGATCGTTAGCGATGGTGGAGGAACGCTGACTGTTCTATCGGAGGAGGTTGGGTCGACTGTGCTGTGCACCACTTTTGGAGGTAGTGAAAATTGTGTCACAGGTCAGCAAGAATAATAGCCAAAAGTGAATCGTTTTACTCACGGAGATTTCGTCGATATTTCTTTTCCCTGGTCTTTTTTAAGTTACTTCCAATAGTTTTGGTTGTTGTATTTCCTTCTGCAATATACTCTGCAGCTTTATGGAGACATCTTCCACGTTGGGCGAAAATTTTATTCTTATCAACGAATGAATTTTCATGGCTCTGAACAGGAGCCCAACAAAACAATTTGCTACTTCGATTCCTCACGTAAAAGGCATCTTGTTTGATCACTTCATTAGGAATTCTATCGTGTGTCGATCTTCTTGCTTTTGACATTTTTTGGAACTCTTACTGGAACCTGATTTGATCTGCGCCCTCTGCTGTTATGAGATCGGCCTCAGAAGAGACTGCAAATTATGTGGGGCACTGAGGCTAGTTTGTTGTTGGTTAAACAATGTATTTTTTCTGTAGTCAAAAGTTGTTACGACAGACACTGTGAATCAGAGGCAGATTTGCACCTTGCAGGTAGTTTGCCACTGAGGTGTAGGGCATTTTTGCGTCGCTTCATTTCTTTCCTATAACGGAGCACCTTCTTATATATTAATTGGTTTTTCTTACGTTATGTGCAGTTCTTAGGTTGTAATCGTATCTTTTCCCGTTCCATTCGGAGCATTGAGTATTGCTTCTGTTCTGGAAGTTTGGTGTCTTACACAAAACGAAAGCTTAATAGGGACTTGTCATCAATCCGTATGCCCATTTCGACCCAGTCGAGTAACTTCTTGATCAACTGCAGTGCGTCAGTGAACTCGACTGGCGATTTTGTGCCGCCTTGTCGAAACCCTTTTCCTATGGTAATGGTACGCGATGAATGCAAACAAAAGCTTTACTTTGTGGTGAAGTTAACGACAGTCGGTCAAAGTTCTTGGTTCACGTTCGCTCTTTGGGCCACCACCTTTAACAGGATTGCATTGCTTTAGACGCTGTTGAAGTAGGTTTCTATATTCGACAAAGCTTAATTCTAAATATGGTTTAGATGTGGTCCATGCAGCAGAATTCCCGTCGTAATCCTGTTCGCTCAATTTGGTTGGCTTGATCCACAATTTTCGATGGGCATGAAAGAGTAATCTTTTTGAAAAGCTATACTGAACAAGCAAACCAGGCTAGTTACGATGTTTCCATCAGTCACCACTCCAGTGCACGATGGACGTGGGCGAGCTGCTACATTATTGGTCTGGTATCTTGTTTCTTTCTAGGTAAATGGTCATATTGGTTGCTAGAACGCGCTTAGTTCATGGCTTCAAGCTCAAGAGAAGTCAGATGTGATGTAATCTGGTTCTATCGCTATGTCTGTTCTCGTCATGCGTTCTGTCGCAACTAGAACTTCAGAGAGAGGAATCTGAGGCGTTTTTCTCTAGTGTTCGTTTTAGTATGCGAAACGAAGGTTCTGAAATGGAAAGGAATGATGTAAGGCTTTCCCATTATCAGTCTGACATCATGTTAGAATATTCTAGTAATACCATCACTGGTTTTTTTTGAGCTGATTTCAACCGTCTTTTACCTGTAGGTCCTCCTGAAAAGATTTTCTACTACTAGGATTTACTACCACTCGTGTTAGTTGTGCTGTAGTAGGATAGTTTCATTTTTCCTTGTTATGAAGTATCTCTGTAGCGGTGGTGGGAAAGCGACCTGAAGTTGTTTGAGGAGCTGAGACGTTCTCAGGCACAAAATTGGAGTCCGTCGACAAGAAATTCGTAGTCTTCGGTCGGGTTTTCGTTTACCTCATGTAAGGTAAAAATTCCATTCAAAATGTTTTCAAGTCACCAAATGACATCCGTCTCCAGCACTGTAGCTGGTATGCCAGTATGGAGTCACACGAGTCAAGGCAGGCGCTAGCTCATGTTCGAAGTTGCAAAGCACTGCAGAAAGGCGATAAAAGAACATCTTAAATAGAGAAGAAAACCAGTAATGGTCGAAGCCGCATAGGCTGAGAAAAGTACCCGCAAATCAAACTGAAACAACTGCAATTACAACAATTACAAGACATATGACTTCAATGATGCTGAAATATTTGCAAAACTCCGAACCAAGGACCAAAACCAGACCAAAACCAATTACTAGACATTTCGATGCCCAGATGGGTCAGTTATAGTTTTAAGAAAGACGAGGAGGAAGTCATCCACGACTACTACTCGGATCCCTTCAACATAGACACGCTCTCCTACACTCATATGAAAAAAGGGTGGATGTATCGTCCCACCGGCTCTCCCCTACGAAATCTAACTTGCTATTTCATCGGTTAAGAATCGAGCAACACCATGTGCAGACAGGATAAGACCTGATCACATGATGAACCTTCCGCTTTTCCTCATCAATACATCTGCTCGGTTGTCACATTAGCTGTCACAATGCAAAATCTCTACTCAGTGATAGATCAGCTAGACTGCTATTGTTCAGGAATGATGATCTCAACGATATCGGCAACTATGACCCAATATGCTTTCTGCCTTTCTTCTACAAACTTCTCACTCGAGTCATCCTAAACAGCATTGACAGAACACTGGACAGAGGACATCCATGTGAGCAAGCAGGGTTTCGAAAAGGATTTAGTACAATGGACCACATCCACGCGATAACAAGATCCAGCGAAGTATCGCGAGAGTGCAAGAGACCGCTTTGTTTCACTTTCATCGATAAAGGCGGTTTTTGAACCAATTGATATAGAAGCAGTCATAGAAGCTCTGGATAGTCAGGGAGTCCTTATTCAATATATAAAGAAGTCTTCGCTATTCGCTATCTGTATAAAAATTTCGGAACCAGAATGTTACCATTCTAGAACAATACTAACTTCGAGGTTAAAAGAGGGGCAAGGCGTAGCGATATCATCTCGCCAAAGTTGTTTAGCACCATTCCTGCAGCGATTCTACCTGCCTTAGCGTTTGCATCAGAAACCTTGTTGGTATGTAGACAGGATGAATGATCGCTTAGTGTTATAGAACGCGTATCGAAAGAACAATGCTAGGAGTATCCCTCATCGCGTAAATTAGGGAAAGGTTCCGGTGATGCGGCCTTCATCAAGGGTCAAAATTAAATACGTCGTTCTCTATACCAAACTTTCAAAAATAAGTTGAGCAGAACAAGTAATGCGCCCTCACAACCATGGGCAAGAGCCGAAAGTGACTGGATCCCTCATGATGTCAAACGTACAAAAGAACTACCATCGAACCGATTGTTAAGGTTCTTCGCGAAAACTCTGGGAGAAAGGTGTGAACCTGAACAAGTTCCAAGAGCAAGCAATCGGGCTACTTTTTCAAGCGACAGGGAGAAATTGGTCTACTACCTCCCGCTCGAATAACGATAGCACAGATGATGATCTTATCATGCAGGGCTTCTCTTTTTCCTCACGAACGATAGCAGCACCTTTTCTCCAGCTTATTGCTGAATTGAATCTTTGCAAGCAGAAGAAGGTGATTGGGTCCATCAGATAACAATGGCACTAGTGAAGTGTCCAACAATTACTATTTTCCGTGTATGTGGATGTTATTGATCTTCAAACGAGTTTAATACCGTTATGAGAATCACTTGTCCAGCTAAGAATTTCTTTCTTCTAAAAGAATAAATTCTCGAGGAAGTATCACGTTTTAGACGGTAGTGAAGAAAACTATTTCCATTCCGATTTCGATTTGCTATTGCAGATTTTTCCGTTCTATGAAACAACGGAGAAAGAAAATTATGAATTGGTATGAGCTAAACAGGGGACGGGTAGCGCAGAGGCAGTGATGCCAATCGTGACGAACACGGTTTTGGTTCGACCGCGCCATGAGCTCACTAAGCCTATCATCACTCCGGTGTCGGGATATCATACCTGTCTGGGAAAAGTCTGTTCTTCGTAATCGGACTTTGGAAACTCTAGTTTCTAGGACATAGGAAGGAAGGCTATCTCAGGTTCTAGGGAGAATCGACCCGAGCAGCATTGAACGGCATTCATGACGAAACGAAAGTCTTGAGGTAGAAACTGAAACTAGACGCAAATACTTGGAAGTATCTTCGTCGATGGTGACTTCAAGGAAAAGAATCGAATGCAAGAAGTGCATGGAATCACAGAGTAGATATGAAAGATGGGTCGTGAGAATAGAAAAAATGAACGAATGAAGAAATCTACCATATTTGATTAACATGCTAAACAGTAAACAACTAAGGATAAAGGATAAAGCTCTTGGCGTTGATTAATCACTGAGGAATGCGCCATGCATTCGACTTCATTAATCATTGTTCGGAGGTAACTGAATGCATATCTGTGCTACGAAATAGTTAACGGCGAAGTGTAGCGGTTCAGATTGGTGTAGAATATTAGCCATGCGGGTCTTTTAGTTGTTGTATTGATCTACCAGCCTCAAACCCGGGTGTAACGATAGAGAAGTAATGGTAGAGGAATGACGCCAGTTCAAGCTCTGAGGTGCTAAGGCTAGTAGTGAAGTGAGGCTGAAAACGAGACAATGCCATTCGAATATTACTATACCATTAATACAATATTGTCAGTAATAATGAATGATTATAAAGAAGTAAATGTTGGTTAGCCGTAAGCGATGCCGCGCCGCGTCTATCCGCGGCTGGTGCGGCCGCTGAGGGAGTATGCTGGGGCGAAGAGGGAGACAGTATGCTCCGGCGGAGAGGAATACAGACTAGCCGTGTTTTAGGCTGAGCTAGGATTTTAACATTATAGCAATGAGGTGCATTTTAGTGAATCGATGAAGACAGTAAGTTACATGAGCGTTGACGGTGCTATGGACATCGAATGATGAGTCATCTACGGAACACAGTTAGGCGGCTGGTCAGGTCTAACGCTATGTCAGTAACGTGAAGTTTGAGCATCGATGGATGCCATCATTGCCTAAGAGTTAAGGGCCAGTATGATAATGGCTAAAACTGATAAGCCTATAGCGGCTTAATAGAATATATAGCATAAGTTGGTCGCTCAGCGGCCTTGTACGCATGGCGTACATTGTAGGAGGAATGGTACATGCCACCGATGGTGTTACAAACAGAACGCATATGGAAACACCCGCCACTACTGACATCGCACCGTAGACAAGCCAAGACACGAGATACAATAATCTGCTCATTACTGAAGGATGAATGTGAATGGATGAGAATGAGCGAGAATGAATATGACTGAGAATGAGCTGAGGTGATTGGTGATGACTAGGAATGATGTTGTGACGAGCGGATTATCCGCGCTACCGATCTGGGGTAAGGTGAGTGATGGCATGTCTCCACCTTCGAAGGCACCTGGCTTATATTGGCTGCGGGAGCTGCGTGCGTATGCAACCACGGCTAATCTAGATTGTTGATCTTGGACTGCAGTAGACTGTACCTAACTGCTTCAAACATCTTAAACGTCATTGGCTTCGTTGTTTCGCAAGGAAGTAGTAATCGTTCCACTGTTACGCCTCTTCCGGATAAGCCATCGTTGCTGTGCGACTAAAGTCAAACCTGAATCGCTACTGTGCCTGAAACACTGAACATAATTGACCGAGTAGATTATAAAAGTTACATTGCGGTATTTGATGTGCGACTGCGAAACGGCCATAAGTGGACATCAAATACTATTGTTTAGAAAGGTAGAGAACTTTTCTAGAGAAAAGTTCTCTATAATCTGGCCTTTAAAATGACTCGCGGTGGCCTGTATTGAGTTAGTGTTCCGGTCCTTCCAGACAAGTTCGGTATTATTTTCCCAATCTCAGAAGGACGAAAGGCTTGGTGAGCTTGAGCGGGATTGATCCCATGTAGATCCCAGATTACTCACTTGATGCTTGAATTGCCCGTCCTCGCTGGCTGTGCGAGCCCCAGCATAATCTCCATTTTTCGGAGCTTTGCTGGTTAAGCCATTGTGGTCCTCTGGAATCCCGAGGTCAGCCTGGCCAAAGTCTGTCCCAGGTCTTCACCACCACAGGCAGTCGCAGCCCTTGTGGACCAGAGAGAGATTTGCCATCATGCGACTAGCTTTATACCAGGACGGTGGTTGATCCTGGTATTGGTTTACTCTTAGCTAGGCTTCCTCATGGAAATCGAATGTGTGGTGCGTCCCGAAGGGATCGATGAACGCCGAGAAAGTGAGCTTTCATAGCACGAATTGAACATCTGGTCAACTGTAGAGGACATCGTGGTGAGAGAAGTAAAAATTGGGAGCAAAGTTCGAAATTATTATCGAATGAACTCCAAATAATGAATTAAATAATGAGCTGGGATTTTGGAAGACGTCCGCTTCATTGGGGCTACGAAAAATGTGTTAAGTTTTGATAAAGTCAATTTTAAAGTAGTGACCAAGTTCGGTTATTTTAGTATTCTTCTACAACTTTCCTCTGCATGACTTTGAAGCTTGCACTGCGGAACGATTAGTAGACATTGTTACTGTGATGGCAGACGAATTGAAGAGAGGTATGCTCTTGATTTAAAGAGTTTATAAGCAATTTATTACTCCTTAACGTCATTCGTGTTTTAAATCTATTCTTTCCTATGATGTTGCCGCTGATCTAGGAAGGAGACTTGTGAAATGTGCAACCCGAGTATTGTGCTTGAAGACTTTAAGAGTTGACGAAACTGTGGAGTTTACCTTATCTGACCGTCTGACTTCAAAACAATTCGCCAAATTCTTTTACAACATAGATGACTCTTTAAAAAGGTGGTTTCATAGGTAAAATCGCCGTCCACTGTCATGCCGGTCACGGAAGGACGGGTATGGTGATCGCTGCATGTTTGATGCTGATTAAAGGAGTACCACCCGAGCAGGCTGTGCAGCTTGTTAGACAAAAACGGTCTCCAATTTCACTTTTTAACACTTGAGAACACATATCAGGCACAACTGTTGTCATCTTTAGGGCAAATTGCGTGCAGAGCTCAACTCAAGTTCGCGCTCTTCGTGAATTTCATAGTTTGTTCAGGAGGAATGCTTTAGTGCTACCTGATTCACCATTCCTCTCGACTTCCCTTTACACGGAATTCATTAGTAGAATGTTACCTAGGATCGATGCAAGACGCTATGGGAAAGTACCAAAGGTAAAATTTATTCATAATGCTGTCTCAAAATGTTGATTAATCAATATTTTCACATCTTCAATGTGGATACATAAGAGTGGGGTAGCTTTAGGAATAATTGATAACACATACCAGAGTTTCACTTTCAGTGACGTATCCTAAAAACCTCGATGTTGACGGGGCTGATTGTCGTTAGCTCTTATTGACAATCTTGCTTAGTAATTCGGAATGGGGAAGTAGATGTAATTAAAAAGCGTTTCCATGTGTGGAAGGTAATATGCTCATCACGATTTGGTCAGTAGCCATAGCGATAAGTGATTATGATTAGGAATTTATTGCTTTTGGTAGGTAGGGGCGGGTGAGTTCATTATCAGAATTGACACACAACCGCATTGTTAAATTCTGCTTCTTGATTCCTACTGTTTGAGAAGTTCATGGAATATCATTAGGAAGGTATTCACTTTTCCAGTAAGTGGTCGGTTTGAATGTCCGGTTGGACAAACGATATAAGTGTTATACTATATTTTCTTGAACACGTGACGTGAAGCTTCAGTTCTACGGACACGTTATTCTTGTACTGCTTTCCTTCGAATACCATTTCGAAAACGTTACTATCATCAAACTTGGCAATATGGTATCTTTCAGGTTACGGTATGGCGGACCATCGTTGATTAGTTGGTACAAAAATTGGAGTCATAATTAAGTTCATCTAATAATAATTAATAGCACGTAGTAGTTATCTCTTGAAGCGTCCTTAACAATGAGAATTTCGAATATAATGCTGAGATATTTGCAAAACTCCGGACCGCAGGTGGGGAACGAACACGCGCTGTTGTCCTTACCGGGAGCGGCGCACTTCACCACCACACCATCCGGGTCATCCGGTCCGGAGTTTTGCAAATATCTCAGCATTATATACGAGTTATATTTCCCAACATACCCTGCCATTAAAAAGAAAAAAGGCAGTAAATAAAAGGGTTAAGAATGAGAATTTCATTAAACGATCGACGATATTGTGTTCCTTTTGAGGTGCACAGCTCTATTGTTGTTCTGAAATTTAGGCCTTCATAATAGCGTGCGGTTTGGATTTGAGTTGGAAATCGTCTATTTCCGCAAGTAACTGAAAACAATCAGTAGTGGAGGTTCGCTGCTGAGAACGACTTTCACGTATGGATGGATATCCTTCAAAACGGTCTTTACACTATTGAGCTAACTATTCTTACGAATGATGAAAATCTTGGTGTTCTCTCAATACGGCTGTTGTTTGGATCGTTCCTTTTCATTAGTTCATTAAATTACACCGTTTTTTATCATATTTTGAGCTGCTTGAACTTTTCTTAAAGGTTGATTTTATTACTGGAAATAGCATGAACGGAATGTAGGATGCCTTTGATACTTTTAGTTTGGCTCAACCAATAGCCTCCCAAACGTTTATCGCCTCATCATGTCTTGGAGGTGGACTGAGGACTACGCAATTTGTCTAAGGACTTAAAACTTGTGTCGCACTCCCCTTAGTTCCTCAAACAAGAAGTTTATACAGTAACTGCCACGACCGACTTTCTATTAACCTCGGCATTGATCAAGTGATTTTCTTCGTATTTTTGTTGAGCAAACG